TTATGGCCAGGCTTGCCGCACACACTACAGCACTGAACCTTCGTACGAGCCCCCCCTGCATTACTACTATCCGGCTGCGTTTCTTGCACTCCCTCCTTATCCACGGCCTTCTGATCCAATAGATCCTGTGCCTCTTGTATAGTAAGTGACCCTCCAAGCCTTACACGTTTTTTTTTAGCTCTCCGGCGCTTGCTTAGTGCCTCATTGGCCTTACGGAGCGAAGAGACCTCTGCACGAAGGAGAGCTACCTAGTACATTATAGCCGTTGTACCTTTAGCAAGCTAGTCTACTATAGCCAGCATTAAAGTCGGGGAGTTATTTTGATAGTTAGTAATACGAGTTTTGATAAGCGTTAATTATAAATTAGTTTCTCGAGGGTTGTGTAGTGTTTGGGAGACCTAAGGTTATGCAGTACCGGGCCGTAAGTTTGGAGGTATTGGCGTACGAAGCTTTATATCCAGCTTAGAAAGCACCCTCTCTGGATTATATAGTATAAGGCTAGCGCCCGTAAAGCCACCCTATATATTCTTCTCTATTAGAGACGAAGAAGGCCTCGCGGAAGGCACAGAGGAACTCGAGCTTACTTATATAGTTAATATACATACGCATTAAGTCTTCGATCTAGCGACCGTACACCTATTTTAACGGCCTAAAGCAGCCAATATCGAGTAGCTAGAGGAAGTGGGAGGAGTATAGAGGTATATAAAGCGTAATAATATTGTTCTATTAGTAGTAGCGTTCGAATTTGGTTGAGTAATAACTTTCGTAATTATCGAGGATTAATAACCGGTATTTACCTTTTATATAGGATGCTATATAATAGTCGAAGTACTTAATTTAATCTAAGCTTACCGGATTAGTAGTCCATTTATTATCGATAATTATAATACGCTAGGTAGACGGTAAATTATATTCGGTATACTAGTTAGTAAAGTAGTATTGTGCGGCTAAAATAATAAAGGGAGGGATAGTTTAGCCGAGGGTATTAACTCCCTGGATTACCGTTGCCTATTCGCGGTTACTAGGCTAGGCCAATTTTACTTTGCTAAGGCCGTCCGAGGTTGTAATTACTATACCCGCGAAAATAATACCCATTATAAACCTAGTCTCGTCGAAGTTATAAATATTATTATTTATAATACCGTACTTAGCCTTAGTATTCCGTATAAACGTAAACCACTCGGCAATAACCTTTAGATCCTCGCACTTAGCCCTCTAGTAGTCGTATCTACGCGTAAAACGCGTACGGAGCTGTGGCTAGCGTTTAACGAAGTTATGTGCCCAGAGCTTACTAATAGGGGGCGCGTCGCGTACGTGTAGCAGTTGGTTAGCTATATCTTCCACACCACGTAATCTTAGTGGAAAATCTCGCGCATATAGCTCAATAATATATTAAACAATAGCATCCTCTTCGGATTAAGTAAGCTTCTTCGATTTGGGCGTGGTATCGCGTCGTGCAGGCCGGCCAACGCGTCGTCGTAAGAGAGTCGTATGGTGGACGTTGTAGATCTTTCCTGCGGCTCGGAGGCTGAGATTTTTATCTTTTTCAAGAGCTTCGAGGGCTAAGATCACCCTGGCTTCCTTTAAAGTAGAAGGCATATTGGGTTGTGTAGAAAAAGTCGATGTTGGGTGGAAGGATAGTGCGTCGCTTAAAAAGTGGTGCACTCGCTTATATGGTGCACTCGCTTATAATGTACGTTACTGTCCTTTAAAAGTGTGAGTAGAGTTTAGGCTGGAAGTAAAAAGGTAGAGAATGCTAATATATAACTAAAAGCTCTTAAGAAAAGAAGATAGATGGCTGGGACGGCGCGAGATAGGTAATGCCTAGACTAAAGGAGAGAAAATAGGTAGAGAATACTGGGAATGTGGAGACTAGAAGAAGAAGGAACACATAATAGGGAATAGCGCTGGAACGAAATATAACAAATAAAGATATAGAATGAAGAGAATATTTCGATAAAAAAGAAGGAGTGGGAATGCTGAGATAACACATGAATATATAGAATGAAGGAAAGAAAGAGCATGGGAATGCTGAGATAGGGCTTGGAATAAATGGATAGGAAGTAAAGTAGGATACTTGATAAGACTCTGAAGTCGTCCCGCCCTAAGTTGGCGAATTAAGAATTATAACAAAAATCTAAACTGGAGAAGGAAAGAAAAGAGGATTCTGGGATAGCGGAAGGTTGGACTAAGAGAGAAAAAGAGGCAGCAAAGATTGGCATGGAGTTTAGACTGGAATACACCAAGACAGAGGGTACCTTACTGGAATAGAGCTGGGTCGTCAAGACTCCAAAGCCACCCTGTCCCTTCCGCCTTCGCCGGGTAGTGTATTAAAAACAGTAGGAAATGCTTAAACTTGAGAAAGAAGGATAGAGAATATCGGGGTAGAGCTTAGAATAATAAAAGGTGATAGATAGAGAGGACTGGGATGAAGTGTGGGTCGTCAAGACTCCAAGATCGCCCTATCTCATCCGCCTTCGCCGGGTGGCGTGCCGAGAACAAGAGGTAATGTTCAGAATGAAAAAAGAAAGACAGAGAATACTAGAATAAATTTTAAATTGAAAAAGAAAAAAAGAAATGGGTGGACAATGTGAGTAGAAAACCCAGACTATAAGAAAGAAAAAGACATGGAATGCTGGGACAGAGCTCAGATTAAATGGGAAAAAAGACAGAATGTTGGGATAGAGCTCGGATTAGACAGAAAAGAAGAGAGAGGATATATGCCAAGAATGCTGCATAAGGACAGTAGATAAATATTTATGCATGGTGCTGCATAGGCGTGTATTAAGTAAATGCACAATAATACATACCACGATTTATGTGAGGTTGTGCGGTGTAAGTGCGGCTGGTGGTATGTAAGAAAGGGCGATTTGTGTAAGGACGCTGAGATGAGATTGGTGATGAATGGCGTATCCTTTTTGGCAAGAGGTAGCGAGTGAGTGTGGTACCCCGTGAACCAGTAAGGCATGGCGAGCCGGCGAGAATGGAGATCCCTGAAAAGGGAGGCGCGATTTGCGTCGCCTTTTTATAGCGGGCAGGTAGGAGGAGGGAAGGCGACGACGATATGCAAATTGTGGAAGGTGTGGAAGGAGTCGGTATTTGGGGGTAAGAGCCACCGCGGTGAGGTGTGTGTGTGAAAATGTGGCCAAAATAAAGAGTATGCGGCAGGGCAAACGAGTACAGACCTCGTGATAGCGCGCGTTCCTGATTCTCACTGGAGGGTGAATATGCACGTCTCACCACGCCCTGAGGGAAATGCCGCTCGATGTGTGTGGCCTTTCGAACAGGGGATAGCCTCAGGGAAGCCTCAAGTGGTGGCAAAGGGGATGCCTGATTCTGTGTATGATTAATATCTATTGATTGGAGGAGTCAATATTATACCTTCAGGTCATCAATTATCAGTCTACGTAAAGGGCAGCAATTAAGCTGAACACTTTGATTATCTCTATGGTGGGTATTTATGAGCAGCTAGATCTTTATGAAAAGCTTGTATGTCCTAAGGTGTATGTTCACTTCGATGTAATTCCCAGCCCTTTTAAAGGCTGGTTTCGATGGACAACTTTAATGGGCAGGGGATTATGATTTTGGGAAATTTCCTTGGGTTTGAGTGCGCAGATGCACAGTGAAGGATAAGGATAAGAGGGAAAATCAAGTAGAGAGAAGATATAACAAGACGTGAAGCTGGTCTTACAGGGACAGGGCTGGCAGTGTAGTTGATGATGTGCGACGTGAGATGCGCGTACGAGGCATAACGTGAGAGAAAGGAGGGAGGATGAATGATAATGCGAGGCTGCTATTTGCCCCGAGTCCAAGTAAGAGGGAGGTGTGCACTTGGATAGGTAGCACAAAGAAGTTCGAACTTTGGTAGGTAAGGAAAGAAATTCAAAAGATGAAAAATAGAAGGAAACTAGTGCTTAATTAGTGCAATAATCAAGCAATTGAATTAAACATGAAATAAATAAAATATTTAATTATTTAGTAATAATTGAATATTAATTATTCTTCATTTAATTTTCTAGCTGGGCTGCATGATTTACGAGCTGGTGGCTGAATCTGGCGGAAATGTCACCCTCTTTTCAACAAGAAAAGAGGTCGAGATGTTTGGTCTGGCCAATGAGCATCCTGAAATACAGTTTTTATCCTCACTCTGTTGCCACGCAGGTTGCAACAAAAACTTGTTACTGCCTACCCAATTAACCAGGGGTTACCTTATGTGAAGAAGATTGACCTGTCACATTGAGCGGCGCTTGTGAAGATGATTGTACAACCCTCTAGGATGATAAACGTTCGTCTGGTACTTGCCAAGGCCGCCTAACAAAGGGGGAGCACTCTCAATAAAACCAGGCTTGAATGCCAGAAATTGGCCAGTATTTTGTGAGGGTAGCCGAGGCCAGGCCAAGGCCAAGTGTCTTCACTTAACAGAAAATATTAGCCTAAGCGTCGAAGGCAGTGGAAATGCAAGGCCAAGTACACTCCCACAGAAAATGCTAGAAGAGTGACCTGGTGTGACACTTTCGTAAGTGGCTCCCCCCCTTACTGTGGCCTTGGAAAGTCATGAAAAATAACGTTTGTGACCCTGGAGTATTGTAATTGGACAGATATGTCGAACATGGTGAAGATCGCCTCTCCTCGAGCAAGTCTGTCTATAAGTCAACCTATGAGTCAAGGTGTCATAAGATAGTCCAGGATTGGCGTGGCGCATATTTTGTAGTTATACACCAGATAGTCTAGAGTCTAGAGGGTGCAGTATATTGCACAGATAGCAAATTATCCTAGGACCTAGCCCTCCCTGTATGACAGTCCGACTCGATACAATTAAATATGGCGATTGAAAGTTAAAAAAAGCTCATGTCGTTGGCCGACGTGCACAGAATGAAGACAGCGATAATAGAATTATAATCAATCGTGTGAATAAACCATGTCCGATATCGCTATCCATCCAAAACAACAAACAGCCACCAACGCCTACGCTATGTGGAACCCATATCAACTCACTAGCATTAATACCCCAGCGGCGTGAGACCAGCTCTAAAGGGCCTCTGGAGGTTCTTGACTTGCGTATCCTTCACTCTCCACACCCCTTTGGTTCTCTCATCAGCCAACTGATGACCCGTACCATCTGCCAAGCGATGGAATACCTCAAAATCACCCGCTGAAATGGACTGGAAGAGCAGCGGCTCCCATGTCTCGCCCCTTGACTCCTCAAAAGCCCTCATCAGTCTCTGCGCTTTTTCGATCTTGGTCTTCTCCCGCGTGACAGCCTCGAGATTACCCATGGCCATCCCATTCAGCACCTTGCCCCACGCCTTACGGCTCTCCCAGTCATCTTGCTGCTCCACCGGAACGATATCCATGGGCACCGGCTCATTCTCCACCGCGTCATGCTTGAACATCTCCAGGACCTCCCCAGTTTGCGCATCCTTGACCACCCACCCGTCGCTCCAGACTCCCGAGAGAGTGTAAATGGCCCTCTGTTTGGTATCATCCTTCTTGTACACCTTTGCCTCAAAGGAGTTCCTCTTTCCCCTGATCATCCCCTCTCCAGAGAACTTGACCTGAGACACGTACCCGCCACTCGAGTGCAGGGTATACGTCCCAGTGATCTCTGGGTACATGCACCCGCCCAAGAATCCTCTGATCTTCACATCTGGCAGCGGCACTAAATGATCCTCGTCATATCGATCAATGTGCACCATTGCATGCCCAACCTGTCTGATGTTCACGTTTCCGTTGAATGTCATCTCCACCCTAGCGTACCCGTCGGCCCTGACACCGTTTTGACGGTCGATGACGTGCATCGCCGTAATGGGGGGATGGTGAGATACCTGCTCGGCGATGAGCTCGGTGCATGCCTTGTTTTCCTCGTCGGTCCACGATGCGAGGAATAGCTCTCCGAGAAAGGCGTTCAGGGGCTTCTTGATCGAGACGGCTTGCGGGCCAGGGGAACCGGCGACGTAGAGTTGACTCTTGAGAGCAACGAGGAACCATTTGAGGACGAGCAGGGAGCGTTTCTCGGGGAGGGGCTCGTGGGCAGGGGCGGCAAAGACGGCAGGACGCTGGGCCCAGCAGTGGCCGACTTCAACGACGGACGAGGGAGCGAGGAGGGAGGGAGGTCCGGTGACGTTGGCGAGATCGCCCTTGACTGTTCCGAGAAACTATAGCAATGTTAGCATCGTGGCAGACGAGGGAAAGGATAAGGGCACGAACCTTGACCAGCTCTCGCAGGCGGGAAGACACCGTCTTGCTGTCCATGATTAATGAGTATTCGGGGTGTATTAATAGAGATAAGGCCGTAAAAGCATGAATCGAGAGGGAAAACGACAGAATTAAGAAGTTCAAAGATAGGCAAAAGGAAACAAAATGGGATGTTGTGCCAGCCGATCGGTCAACGGTCGGTCGTAATGAATATATCCTTCCTCCCTTCGTGGTATGCTAAAGCAGAAACTGCCAAGAAAAGGACCTCAAAGACAGAGACCCAAGAGTTCGCTGTGTAGGTCGAACAAAGGTATTTAATTCTGCTGCCAGGCGAAAGACAAGGAGGAAGATCTTTGTTTCAATGTTTCACCTGCGTCTCAACTGCTTGGCGGGGGTGTTGTTGCTACTTCTGGGCGGTGGATGCTGCTGTCACGTTCTCCTCTCATGCAAACGACTGCGAACTGGTGAGAAGCCCAGAAAGAAGACAGGGAAAGGACGGGAGTAATATACCCCTCATATCGGTGTCGTACAGAGCGATATGCGGCCGGTGCTGACGATGCAGGACCTTTCTGGTGGCCGGATAGGTAGTTGATGAAGCTCCCGGGTCCGTCCAAAGACGGTGCCGTGGGACTGCCGCTAATACGGACTCAACCAAACACTACAGGGCGCTGCAGCACCCGTCCGGCTCCAGGCACCCCCGCGCCACAAACCACCTGACTGCGCAAACCCCCCGCATCCCGTCCCAACGGGCATGTCATCAAGAGGCTCCAAAAGCCTCGATGATCATGTCCACCTACGGCGGAGCTGGAGATGGGCACCAGCTTTCAGCTTTTGTTCATGGAGCCGTGCGGTGGATCGGATGTCTTAGCTACTGATTCGTTTGCACTCGCTACCCGCTGCCCGGCCCGACTTTCCACAGGCACTCGGGGGCTTCCGGCAGTCTGGTTCGCCATCAGAGCTCAGGGAGGGCCGCGCGTTACGCCGAATTCTGCAGCAAGACGCGCGGGAGTGTGGCAGAAGCAGAGTGGGCGAGTCATCTGCGCTGGATCTCCCGCCCTTCAAGTGTTTCAAGGCCATCGACCGCACGACCACCCTCAGAACCGCAGCATACTTGGGTAACCTGTCGATTGGGTGTGACAAAGGAATGCCAAGACACAAATCGACACAAATGTAATATTCCCATCTCGTTGCATCATCCCACGCAAGTTCACCAGACGACGACATTAGCTTGGGTTTAGGTGGGTTTCTCATACACAATTATATATCCAAAATCTTCCAGCGCCATGCAAAAAGTCTTCATTCCGGACCATTAACCAGCCTGACCTGTGCACGGCGTCTCCTTCCATACAATTGTCTCACCTCCATCCTCGCCCGGAACAGTCTCAAAATGTCTATTGAGATGCTCCAATCCGTTCTCAATCACTCCCTCCTTTTTACCATGGTCTTCACCGGCACCGGGGGCCAGTAGTTGCCATAGGTAACTGATCACAGACTCGCCCTGGTTATTCCTGCGGTGAATGTTTACACCTGGACTCAAGATTTTGAACAAGCAACAATATTTCCATATAATCTGTCGGCGCTGTAACATGTCGCTCAAAAGTGTGGACCAAGCAGTGTTGCCATCCATGTCGTTTGTCACGGCCGTGTCAGCCCCTGATTCCATCACCAATTGGATTATGCTGGGACCTTGGTGGCACTTGGCCGGTGTCTGGTACCCTGAATAGCTGTACCTACGATCAGCCTCCAGCGGATGCCTGACCGTCTCGTACAGGAAAGGTTGCTTGACAGCCTCAGGGTGGTCCTTGATGGGCTGCAGGGCCAACAGCTTCTGTATCAATGGGCCGCTCTGGTACATCAATGCCCCCGTCAGAGGACTCATGGCAAACCCGTTGTGTTGGCAGTCGATGAGTCGATGGCAATCCGCCCCGCGTTCGACCAGCTTAGAGATGCAAGTGGCATAGCTAAGTCCAGCCCGTCATCTCTCCATGCGCTAGAATTGCAAACAGCAGCGTCTCCCCATCGCCGCCGATGTTGTCAATCTCGCGGTCAGGGACCGAGTCCAGCAGATGGCAGACCATGTCCCATTCCCGACGTCGCCGTAACAGCTTGAACAATGATTTGATCTGGTCGGAGCCGAGTTGGGATACACTCAAGCCACCACGGTGGCAGAGAACACGGGCAACAGTGAGCTTGATGAGCTGGCGCGAGGACCGCACATGCCACCGGTACGCCGGAGGGAGACACCACAGAAAGAAGGGCATGAACGATGTAAAGTGATGAGACAGATCCATATTGAGCAGTGTGTCAATCACCGCTTCACTAACCGCCTGGGTTGCCTTGAAGCGATTTTGGGCATCCCAGAGCCCTGTTGGGAAATCATCGTCAGAGTCGAGCAGGTCCATGTCCATTCTCATGTCATGGGCCCCCATCAAGGACATGAGCTCATTGTGGTCGGCATCCCAGGGGTGCTCCCCTTCGTCATACCTGTATAAGGCTTTATACTGATGAGAGCATCCAGCGGCGAGAAAGAGTCTTTGTCCCTTGTCTAGGCCACCAAACGACGTGTTCGGGTCGAGTTTGCACATGAGCGACATCATGTTGATAGCCCAGACGTGCTTGCATTTGACCGCCGTCTCAAAGGCCGTAACGTCATTGTTGTCGCGAATAAGCGGGTCTGCGCCCTCTTCCAGGAGAAATTCAAGGACCTCCTTTGCGTATTCGGTTGTCCACTGGCGATCGGGCCACTCGGCAAAAGCCCTGAAGAAATGATGGAGAGCCGTTTTCCCTGAGTGGTCTTGGGCATTGACCTCGACCCCAAAGGCCACAAATGCTTGGAGGTTGTCGTAGACAAACGACTTTTTCGGGTTTGTGGACTAAATCGGGAAATTGTTGAGTATAGCGAAAGTTGCCAAGCAAAACCATCAGCGCAGTTTGCCCCTGGTCGTCAGCCGCGTTGACGTCGGCACCAGCCTCCAACAAGCCGACAATGGCATCCCATCTCAAGTTGCGGGGGGCTAGGTGAAGCGCAAACGCCCTTCGCCCGTTGTTGAATGTCCATTCGTGAGGAACGCCGCCTTTGAGAAGTCGCTCGATCGGCTGGTACGAGCACAAGACCGGGGTGTCGCCGCAACCTGGTCGCCGTCCTGCAATAGATCGTCCAGTGCGTCAGCATGCGAGTACATGCAACAAAGGGTAGGCAGTAGAAGCTCCATATGTGTCCCTTCAGCCAAATGTGCTGTAGCCAGTTGCGTCATGTCGGCACCGAGATTCAGCAATATTTTCGCAGCCAGGGGAAGAGCCTTGAACTTCTCTATTCCGACTTCGTACAGGGGCCTTTCAGCGACGATGGCGAGGCGGCGGGCGGTACGGGAGAAGGCGCAGAGTGTTGAGGACATCGGCGAGGGTTTCGAAATCGCGCATCTCGTTGCAAATCCTGAACAAAGGTCTCGTTCGGCAGGCTCATGAAGGTAGCCATTGTTGTTGATGCTGGAGAGCTGCCACGACAAACAGCACAGCAGAGGCTGAAGTGTATTGTGTAAACAGCCCTCTTCGCGAAACCTTCGCGCGGGCACGTGATATTTACCCGACTTCCATCCGTTGGGTAATAACCCTAACCGAGTCATATTTCGACGGAGGTTGAATCGCCAGACGGCTCCTCGAGCTCATGGCATATCATTATGGGCAGCTCGCCCGGGACAGCTGTGAGGTCGGCCATTGTGCATTGTCGCCAGTGGTGAGGATGAGGGAGGAAGAGGGTGAGTGACTTTCCAGGATCCTTCCGAGTTGGCATTGATCAAGCGCTGTCACGTGCAACAGCTTGGTCTTTCGTAGTGGTCAAAGCTCCTCCCTCGTCGACAGTCAACCAACAACACCCGGGCACGATAACCGACAGGATGAATCATCGTCGACAGGTATGTGATGTGAGGTGGGTAACATGGACTGCTCACATCACCAGGACACTCACTTTTACGCTCGACCGCCATGGCTCTCCCCTCCCGAGCGCCTCAGGCACGCGACTTGGTTGACCAGGACTGGACAGGCCCTGATGATGCCGACTGTCCCTACAACTGGCCCCTGTGGAAGCGCCTCTACATGACGAGCATTCCGGCCCTGCTCTGCGTCAACGTCTCTTTTGCCTCCTCGGTCTACACCTCGGGTACCAACGACATATCACAGCAGTTCAACGTGTCCCGCACCGAATCATTGCTCGGCCTCTCCCTCTTCCTCTGGGCCCTTGGTCTCGGCGCCATCATTGCTGCCCCTGTCAGCGAGAACTACGGCCGCAGGATCGTCTATTTGACGACAGTTCCCATCTTTGGCCTGTTCACCCTGGGCTCTGGACTGGCTCCCAACTTTGTCACCCTGATTGTCTGCCGCACCTTTGCTGGCTTCTTTGGCAGTGCCGTTGTGTCGGTGGGCGGCGGCACCAATGCCGATCTCTGGCGGCCCACCCTCGCCGGCGTCGTGTATCCTTTTTACTTTGTTTCGCCTTTTCTGGGGCCGGCCTTTGGGCCTGTTGTCGGCGGCTACCTGATCGAGGCCAAGGGATGGCGATGGCTCCAATGGATTATCCTCTTCATGATCGTCTTCAACTACCTGTACGCCCTTCCCCAGTCCGAAACCTACAAAAAGATCATTCTGGAGAAGCGCACGCGAAACGAGAAAACACCCACATGGTCCTCCAAGGTCGCTCCGCCATCCCGCGCCATCCTCCAGCGTATTCTTCTCAAGCCGTTCAAGATGCTCTTTGTCGAGTCCATCGTGCTCTTCATGACCATCTACATGGCCTTCAACTTTGCCGTTTTCTACAGCTTCTTTGCCGCATTCCCCTACATCTTTGGCCCGGGCGGCCACTACAACTTCACCCCGGGCCAGCAAGGCCTCACGTTTCTCTCCATCGCGTTGGGGTGCGTAGTAGGGTTCGTTGGGGTTGTCTACATTGACCGTCGCACGTATCCCGCATTGGAGACCAAGTATGGGGTTGGCAAAGTGCCACCTGAGCACCGTCTCTACGGCGCAATGGTGGGCAGTGCCCTCAACCCAGCCAGTTTGTTTTG